AAAGAGAGCGCATAGGGATTCAGGAAGGTGAGACATTTTGGTTTGTTTGAAGGTTCAAAGAATTTGGCAATAGGCTTTAAGGGTTTTTTGTGGGAATAAGTGAAAAATGAAATTTGTTTTTAAGAAGAAAACTTACTTATAGTAGCAATTGGGGGCCCACAGGCCCCACTTCCTCCAAGCCAAAGCAAATGGGCCCCCATCATCTTTTTATCAAGGCCCAGAAGGCCCCATACGGCCCATCTAAACGCTGTAATGACCCGATCAACGCAATTTGACATCGGTCATGTCGGCTCGTACTACTTCCACAATTTTGCCTACTCACCGGCACGGGGGCAGGAGCATCAATTGCCCATATGACTCAAGGTAAGTTCTCTTCCAAACACTGCATTAGGAAGGGTATACCTGAAAATTTCAGCTCATAAATTTTTCATCTAGCCCTAAATTATGCTAAATTTTTGCAAAAATTATTAAATTTTGACAATAAATATTCAACAGTATGCTAAAAGGCTAATATTTTTTGGTCCTAGGTCGATCTCGACTGGGCAAAATACACACCTTTTGGCCTCTCTGATGCAAATTAACTTAATGATTAGTGCATGGGGGCATGTGATGTCACATTTTTTTCTAACAAAAGGCCAGGTTCTGTTTGTTACACAGATATTGCTCTTTTGCTTGTGAAACAATTTTTTCAAGCCAATCGGTGATCGGTTTTTCGAAGCCGTATAGGTCCACCGAGCAGTGATGGTGTATTGCGAAGCTGTTTCGGATTAATTCTCTATCTGATTAGTTGATGGTGCATTGCGAAGCTGATTCAGAACAACTTTCAACCTCCAAACAGTGATGGTGTATTGCGAAGGCTTGTTTTTGAACTCTCTTCCCTAGTCAATGATGGTGAAATTGCGAAGTTGACCAGGGCAAAACCACGTCTTTTCGAATCGATCAAACCGAGTCTCGAGGATGTCTCTACTGATCCGACTGGAGCCTGACAAAAGCAATAAACCGAGCTGCAGTAGGGGCCAGATATCAAATTAAAACCCTTCAAGCCGATCAACCGAGCTCTAAGGTATCTTCATCCAAACCAATTTTTTGGATTAATCATACTGATTGCGCCGACTGACCAACAAAAGCCGATCAACCGAGCTGAGTCGGTGGTCATGATGACAAATCAATTCAACATCTTTCCAAGCCGATCAAACGAGCTTTTTAGGATGATTACAGATTGAAGGCGCGTCAATGAACCACTTTAACATTAATCATTTATACAATTAATGATAAAGTGGGGGGGGTAAACTGTTTGACCGCGTAATTTTATGCCCCGCACTAACCCGGTGAATGATATAGGATAAGGAATAAAGAATCAGGGTCAACCAGAAGTGTTTTTAACAAAAATTGAATCAAAACCGGTCCAAAGGTCTGACTGCGTCTACGGGTTTGCGTCACGTAGCTATAACATGCGTGACGCTACTCATAGTTGCGTCACGCAACTCTCTAACCAGGGATGAACATCATTTGGACCAGGCCCGTGTAAACGGTCTACACTGTTTGTATGGATACGCAGCAACTGTACGAAAAGTAAGCTGCATTCACACGCTTGCGGGTCTCCGTCACGCAGCTAACTACCTGTGTGACGTAAGCCTCTGTTCTTGCCTACCCATATAAATACAAACATTTTCATTTTTTAAATGGGACTTTTCTCACTTTTTTCTCTGGACTGTGGAATTTTTTGAGACTGAGAGAAATTTTATGGGCGGCAGGGTTTTCCCCCAAGAACTCTAGTGAGTAAACCTTGAGGAAGATCAAACTATTCAGAGATTATAGATTTGAAGACTTAAAAACTAATAAGTCATAAGAAAGAGGACAAAGGAGAAAAGAAGCAAAAGGAAAAGTTTTTATGTTGAAACTTATACTAAACGCTTCTGGGATCGTGGAGTTCCATTCCTAAATCATCTAAAACCGTATGCGTCCTCGAATCTGAGGGTTAGGGTAACTATCTAAAACTCCCTTTGCATTTTAGTTGTTTTATTTCGTAATATCTTATTTCCTAAGTATTTTGATTAGTTTGGTTTGATTTTTAAGCAACATTTTTTGCCCCATTTTTTTGAGTGTTTTTGAGTTATATTAAACATCTGTTAATAAAAAGAACACGTAAAAATAGTAGTTTGTAAAGGTAAGTTACGGACCAAGAGCAGCTGGCGTCACGCAGCTACTAACCTGCGTGACACAATGTTCATGTCCAAAAGACCTTGAACTTTGCTTTGGACCACCTGCGTGACGGAACTGTTCGTGGGGCGAGCTTTTATTTTTGCTTTTATGTTTTTAATTTAATGTTATGTCCTTAAATAAATAATTCAATGAAACTGAAAATTTTGATAAGGTCACGAAAAATTCTTCACGCAACTGATTCCGTCACGCAACTGTTCTTCATAGAACAGCTGCGTGACGTAACTGTTCATGGGTTTCCGAATACTTTATTTCAATTTTATTTTAATTTCATGACATTAAAGTTAAACAAGTGATGTCAGTATAAAAGTTTAAACAGTTGGAAAATAAAATGACAAAGAGAAAGGTTGAATGAGAATAAAGGGGTTACCTCCAGTGGCCGAAATAAAACTGCCAGTTTTGACTCACCGCTACCACGGGTCCAGACATCCAGACCATGATAGAGGTGAGCCAAAGCTAGAGTGCCCCAGTTGAGGACCCGACCTGGCTCAAGTCCCTCAAAGCAATACCAGCACCGCCGATCTCTCCCTTATTCTGGCGCGGTTGCATAGCAGCTGAGAACGAATAATGCTAAAAAGAAGGAAGGACCGAGCAGCCTGGTCCCTCTCCTCCCGAGTAAAGGCAGGCGCAAGCAGGTGGAGTGGCCTCGCCACTGGCAACTCCCTCCAAGCCGCCAGCCTGGTCCTGATTCCTCTTGGCCCAGAACTGATAGACTACCTCATACGACACGCATCCCGCGCCGGTGACCTGGTCCTGTGTGGTCACACAAAGCAGAGGGCGTAAAGACTAGCTGAGCTCCTAAGGTAGCCGTCTGGTACAAGCAATCAGCGGGGCAACTGAACCGGTAAAACGAAGGCCTGTGCTAGCAGCATAATCCCACTGGAGTGAGGGTCATCTCGCCGAAGCGCGAATCGCGAAGGTATGCGTGCAGTCGTTCCGCCGCTCCATCAACTGCGTATCGCATGGCAGGTGGAAAACGAGGCTGTGTGCGGTGGAGCCCCCGAGCATAATCACGCCAAAGCCGGCAGCAATAACCTGAGCTCGCATGGGCCGGGTTAGCAGGTCCAAACGAGAGGCATCAGTAGATTGAATCAACCTGAGCGGACAGAGCTCTTGGCCAAATTAACCTGTGAAGAAAATTTTTAAATTTAAATACGATATTATCTGATGATTATTTATTTCTATTCTATGGAGGCCAAATTCAAAAAAATCCAAATCCGTCGGGTTGAAGTCTAGTGCTGCATCACGCAACCTTGCCCAGTTCCGCACCCTGAAGAATAGCTGCATCGCGCACCTCAGCACCCTGCGGCCAGTGCAACTCCACATGCATACACGCAATCTGTAAAAGTTTGCACCCTAAGAACAGATGCGCCATGCATCTCCAAGCTGCGCCAACGCATCTCCACGCTGCGTCACGCAACTACTACTCGAGGCTTTGCCTTGTCGACGAACAGTCCCGTCACACGGAACTGTTCCTTTACCAAGAACAACTGCGTGGACGCAACTGTCATAAGGTACGCAGAATTAATTATGTTTTAATCTCATTGTGGTTTGTGTTATTTTTAAATGCAATTTTCAAGGGCAAAATCAAAGTCGTATAAAAGATAGCAGCAAATACTTCATCAAAAAATAAAGTTTTTTCTAACACGTATAAAGGGGAAAAATCCTAAGTTCAGGAAAAGCTAGGGTCTCTG